AAAACCTGCCATTCTAACCATTTTTAAGTGTACAATTCAGTGATATTAATTACAGTCACCATGTTGTGCAACCATCACCAATATCTATTTCCAAAAGTTCTTCCTCATCTCAAACAGAAACTTAGTGCCCCTTAAACAGTATCTATCTCCCCATTCCTCATCCCTGCCCCACCCCTGGCAAATAAACTTTTGTCTGTATGCATTTGCCTATTCTAAACATTTCATGTAAGTGGAATCATACAGTATTTGTCCTTCCATGTCTGGCTTTTTCACTCAGCATAATGTTTTCAAGGTTCATCCATGTCGTAGGATGTATCAAAAGTTCATTTCTTTTCATGACTGAGTAATACTCCATCGACTGGATGGCAATGGGTTTTTTTTGTATGTATATACCACGTTTTGTTTATCCATTCATCTGCTGATGTAACACCTGTTTCTACCTTCTGGCTATTGTGAACACTGCTGCAGTGAAAACTGGTACAAAATATCTGTTTGAGTCTCTGCTTTCAGGTCTTTTGGTTATACACCTGGGAGTGGAATTGCCGGGTCATACGGTAATTCTGCATTTAACTTTGAGAAACCGCCAAACTGTTTTCCACAGCAGCTGTACCATTTTACAATTCCACCATCTATGAATAAGGGTTACTCTAATGTATTTTTTTAATCATATGGCAAACTTATTTCCTAAAACACTTACCAGCCACCCAGAAATAAAGCTCATTAGTTCCAGAAGACAAAATAAGAATGACTAATTTATTCATGAAATTATTAGATCCTGAATAGTCAAGAGTTGCCTATAAACACAGGATTATGAACATACTAACCATTAATATTTGGGTGAATTTCAACCATCACCTACATTTATAAAATTAAACTTGTCAAGAAAAAACACTGTTTATCTTTTCAGCAAAGAGTATTCCCTAGTGACAACTGAAAGCACCAAAATCCTGTGTGTGCCACAAAAGCAATAACCTCAAAAACATTTCAACATCCTCTGAGATGTACAAACTCTGCTGGCAAGCCATGAACTCCATTTCTCAAAAATATCTTGAAAGCTCTTGACAACCAAACTCTTCCTCAGTGTAGCTTGTTGCACACCCAGCAGCTGAGAGCTCCTCCTCAGTACACCAGACCCTTGTTTCTACCACCAGGACCACTACGGTATTTTGTGGTGCTTTTTGTTGTGTAGCACTTGACCACAGCACATACCTTTTAAGCTCCCTGTAGAACAAATTTCTCTGTGCTTTCTAGAAAATCTCACCTAAACTTTCACTATACTACTGTCCATGTGGAGCCTTGGTGGCACAGTGGTTAAGAGCTTGGCTACTAACAAAAGGTCGGCAGTTCAAATCCACCAGCCACTCCTTGGAAACCCTATGGGGTAGTTCTACTCTGTCCTATAGAGTCGTTATGAGTCAGAATCAACTCGATGGCAACAGGTTTGGTTTTTGGGTTTTATTTGTCTACGCTATCCTTTATAGTCAGACAAATCTTTTCATTTTCCTATAACATGCACCATCTCCAACCTTTGTCCTCAAATCAGGCCAGATCATCAAGACAAACAAGCACAAATCTTTCATTTTTGCCACATTACTTTATTACATAATATTATTACATAATATTAATCCACTCCCTTCTATAAAATGAGTTTTAAAAGCAAAGTTTAAGAATAGTTACAGGTTATCTATCTCTGGATCTTAACCGTCAGTAACTCTTCTCAGGCTCATGTTTAGATAGTTACCTATACTTAGCCATGACAGTCTCTGGCACGACAATTTATTAAATAAAGAAATATCCAGAATGGTACAGTAGGATTGAGGCGTAATAACAGAGAAGCAATATGGGGACCCAGTTTACATTTTGTAATGAGATTTACCCATAGCTGTAAGTTTCCCTTCTCATTAGAAAATGAATTTTTATTGCAAAATATGTTTAGCTAAGTAGAAATGAGTCATTTAACAACTTAATTTTTATTTTGCACTCCACATTGACATTAAATAACACTTCAGTGTTTAATATAAAAGACATTAGTACTGGAGCACAGGGCATTTTCAGGGCAGAGAAACTATTCTGTTTGATACTGTAATGGTGGACACATCACATTAATCACTTGTACAACACAAAGAGTGAACGCTGATGTGGACTATGGACTTCAGTTAATAATAACATAGCAATATTGGTTCATCAATTGTAACAAATGTACCAGAGGAATGCAAGATGTTAATAGGAGAAATATGTGCAGTGGGAGAGGATAAACAGGAACTCTACTTTCTGCATAATTTTTGTGTAACTTAAAACTACTGTAGAAAATAAAAGCCTGTAAATAGTCTATCAAACAAAACTAAAAATGCACAAACGACAGAAGATAAATTAGATAACTGGGACTTCCTAAAACTTAAATACTTACGCTCATCAAAAGACTTTACCAAGAGAGTAAAAAGAGAACCTACAGACTGGGAAAAACAATACATCAGATAAGGGTCTAACCCAAACCCACTGCCATTGAGTCAATTCTGACTCACAGCAACGCCACAGGGTTTCTAAAGCTATAAATCTCTACAGAAGCAGACTGCCACATCTTTCTCCCATGGAGGCACTGGTGGTTTCGAACTGCCGACCTTTCAGTTAGCAGTCAGTTAACGTAACCACTGCGCCACCAGGGCTCCTTGATGAGGAACTAATCTCTAAAATATATAGAAAACTTCAACAACTCAACAACAAAAAGACAAACCAATCTAAAAATGGGCAAAGAACATGAACATGAACAGACACTTCACCAAAGAGGACATTCAGGCAGCCAACAAATAAATGAAAGATGCTCATAATCATTAGCCATCAGAGATACAAATCAAAACTACAATGAGATACCACCTCACCCCTGCAAAAAAGGCAATGATCAAAAAAAAACAGAAAATAACAAATACTGGTGAGGCTGTCGGGGGATTAGAACTCTTATACATTGCTGATGGGACTGTAAAATGGTACAACCACTATGGAAAACAGTACGGCACTTCCTCAAAAAGCTAGAAATAGAAATGCCTTATGATCCAGCAATCCCACTCCTAGGTATACATCCTAGAGATACAAGAGCAGCGACACGAATAGACATTTGCACACCTATGTTCAGTGCAGCATTATTCGCTATAGCAAAATGATGGAAACAACCTAAGTGCCCATCAACAGATACATGAATAAACAAATTGTAGTACATACGCAACTATGAGAATAATGAGGGGTCTGTGAAACATAACATGGATGAATCTGGAGGACATTATGTTGAGTGAAATAAGTCGATCACAAAAAGATATATATACTGTATGGTCCCACCATTATAAAAAGTCAAGAACAGATATACATACAGAAAGCAAAGTTCTTTGATGGTTACCAAGGATGGAAGGGAGGAGGGGAACCACTTTCTAGATAAGACACTTGTTACTTTTGGTAATGGGAAAGGCAATTCCAAATATGGGTGAAGTCAGCAAAACATGACGAAGGTACATACACTAATAAGTACACAAAAAAGAGGACAATTTCAGTAAATGCTGTAACATACACAATTTTGCAGCAACAGTAAAAACAACCAAAAAATATGTGTGTGGTTATGTAGGTAGATATGGATGCATATACGTGTATAAGAAGGCATATGCGAGTAAATGCACGTGTACATACAGGTGCACCTGCAGGCATATGTATAAAAACATTTGTGTGTGCTGCATATATATCCACATATATAACAAACCACATGGGGACACAGTTACTGATGTTTCCTAGACATATTCACACAACTCATGAGATTGGCTTACTGGGTCAAAAGGTGTGGGACCACAATCTCGAGGGACAACTTAGTCAATTAACGTAACATAGTTCACAAAGATAATGTTCTACATTCGAGTTTGGTGTGTAGTGTCTGGGGTCTTAAAAGCTTGAGAGCAGCCATCTAAGACACAACTACTGATCTCTACTTGTACGGAGCAAAGGAGAACGAAGGAAATCAAAGGCTCAAAGACGAAACTAGTCCATGGACTAACAGCCCACAGGAACCACAACCTCTTCTAACCTGAGACCAGAAAAACTAGATGATGCCCAGCTACCACTACCGATCATTCTGACCAGGGACACGAATAGAAGGCCCCGGACAGAACGGGATAAAAATGTAGAACAAAATTCAAATCCCTAAAAAAAGCCAGACCGACTAGATCAATAGAGGCCAGACAAACTCCCAAGACTATCGCCCTAAGATACCCTTTGAACTTGGAACTGAAGCTATTTCTGCAGGTCACCTATAATCCAAATAATAGATTGGCTTATAAAATAAACAGTATCAATCGTGACTAATCTTCTCCCTTAAACGATTAACAATATGAGACCAAACGGTCAACAGTTACCCAAAAGCAAAGACGAGAAGAAAAGGAGGGGAAGGAAACCTAGACCAATGGAAACAGAACAAACAGAACAGAAATAATGAGAATGCTGACACACTGTAAAAACTGTAACCAACGGCACGGGACAATTTGTGTAAATATTGCTACAGGGGAACCTAACGTGCTATGTAAGCTTTCCTAAAAAAAAATAAAACAAAAGCCTATTAAGAAAAGACACTATTACTACAAAAATATTGCATATACAATGAGAGTTATAAGAGCAGAAGATTTCTTTTTATCTCATCTTGAGCTATCAATTACTACTCTTGTTAGACCTTTGTTCCTTCTTCACTGCCTTCTAATTATCCCTTCATGATTATGAAAAATAAATGCAGGACAAAAACAACGAACTATAAACATGGCTATCCCATAAATGCTATTAGAAACACAAAACTATTTACAAAAACACCTTACTCTAAGACACAATGTAACTTCCTATGTTCATCTACTTGACAAAGGAATCCAGAGTCTAAAATTCCTGTTTTTGATTTTTCTTTTCTCTTGGGGAAGGGGGATAATTCCAGTGGAGAAAAACTCGGAGAAGGAGATGCAACAATCTTTGTACATTAAACCACTTACCCACTTGAAGGATCTAAGGCAATAGCTCTAGGTTGATCCAACTCTTGCCAAAATAAAACTTTTCGTAAAGATCCATCTAAATTAGAAACTTCAATCCGATTAGTTTCAGAGTCTGTCCAGTACAATTTTTCTCCAAGCCAATCGCATGCCAGCCCATCGGGGGATAATAATCCGGAGACAACAACATTCTGTACACTCTCAGTTTTGTTAAACTCTGTTCGCTTAATGGCTTCTTCGCTTACATCACTCCAGTATATCAAGCCATGACCAAACACAAAGTCCACCGCAGCTGCATCCTCCAAGCCTCCAACTACAATCGTAGCATTCTCTTTGCCATTTGTAGCATCAACCAATCGCAAGTCCCGTCTGTTTGCATAAAGCAACAAAGGGGCCGCTAGAACGAAAAAAGAAAAATATGTAAGTAAAAAGGAACGAAATGTATTGGTTCTTATAAACTGGGTTTCAAATCGGCATTAGTGAGCAAACATGATCAAAAATAAGAAGAGTAAATAAATCTACAGAAGACTCACTAAAATCTTTTCACATGCAAAATACTATTTTTGTAGCATTTTAAAAACAAAAAGTAGCAAGAGGGGGGATTAATTCCACCAAGACAGTTTTTTTTTGTTAAAATAGTCTGTCAGATAAAATTAAAATGCCTGGTCATACAAAGTGTTGGTAAGGATATGGAGCCACTGGAACATTCAATCTACTGGTAGGAATGGAAAATGGGGCATCCACTTTGGAAAACAATCTGGCCATTTCTTAAATTATATACATCTAACATATTTTCCAGCCATTCCACACCTAGGTATTTATTCAAGAAATAAAAGCATATCCCAATACAAAGATATGTACATAAATGTTCATAGCAGCTTTATGTGTAATAACCCAAACTGGAATCAACCCAAATGTCATCAACAGATAAACGGATAAAGTGTGATATATCCACACAATATACTACTCAGCAATAAAATGTAATGAACTATTATACACATAACAACATGGATGAATCTCAAAACAATTAAGCTGAATGAAAGAAGCCAGACCCCTCAAAGAGAGTATATACTGCATGATTCCATTTACGTAAAATTTTAGAAAATGCAAACTAATCTACTGTGACAGAAAGCAGATCAGTGATTGCCTAGAGGTGGTGAGAGGTGGGTAGCAAAGAACAAGCAGAAGGGATATAAAGAGGCACGAAGAAATTTTTGTAGGTGATGGTTATGTTATCTCCATTATGATGATGGATGGGTTCAGAGGCGTATACACGTCAAAACCTATTAAATTTTACCTTTACAAAAGTGCAATTTATTGTATATTAGTTGTATCTTAATAAAGCTACTAAATAAACAGTCTGGCAGAGAAACAGTTCTTAATACAACTATTTTATTCTACTGTATATTATAATTGGAGCCCTGGTGGCACAGCAGTTAAGAGCGGTGGCTGCTAACCAAAAGGTCAGCAGTTCGAATCCACCAGCTGCTCCTAGGAAACCCTATGGGGGCAGTTCCACTCTGTCGTATAGAGTTGCTATGAGTCAGAATCGACTCAATGGCAACGGGTTTAGTTTTTTTTTCATATATTAGAATGACTTTTAAATAGTATCTAATTCTAAAACTAAATATAAAGCTTATGTTAAAGTCAAACATTAACATTTTCTACTGAACGTTTGGTCTATAAAATTCTAAGAAACTTTCTGGTCATTTAAGGCCTCCCAAGTCTTCTGAGGGAACCCTGCTGGCATAGTGGTTAAGAGTTTGGCTGCCAACCAAAAGGTCAGCAGTTCGAATCCACCAGCCGCTCCCTGGAAACCCTATGGGACAGTTCTACTCTGTCCTATAGGTTCGCTGAGTCGGAATCGACTTGACAGCAGTGGGTTTGGGGTTTTAAGACTTCTGAGTACAAAAAGAAAAGGGCGGGGTGGGTAAGGCAAGTTAATTGTTTTTAACTTAGTTGTTCTGGTTATAATGGAGCATAAAGGACTGTACTTGGTAGCGCTGGGGTTAAGACCTTGGCTGCTACCCTAAAGGTCAGTAGTTCGAATCCACCAGCTGCTCCTTGGAAACCCTATGGGGCAGTTCTACTCTGTCCTATAGGTCATAATGAGTTGGAATAGACTTGATGGCAATGAGTTTAAAGGACTGTACGAAAACCTCTCATTATTAAAAGGAAATCCCAGAGTTCATTTGTCCAGCCACCATTCTGGCGCTTGAATAGTTTCTGTAATATTGTCAACAGTATCTATTCAGCAACATATTATATGGGATATCTGAAAGGTGCAATCTGATTGATCTGGAATATTGTTTTGTGTTTTTTTTAATAATACTGTTTTAATCTACTACAGAAATACACTGGACCCACACACCCTCGCCCCCTCGTTGCAGCTCATATACCATGCGATCAACATTTTCCATTCCAAAGGGTTTATCTTCTTCTGACTTCCCAGTACTGCTACCAGATAATCACCATCACATCTCTTTAGAAGAACCCTCACTAGTGCTCAGGAATCGTTTCCCTTTATTAACTTCCTACCAAGCTTTCTCTAGCAGCCTTTCTAAACTTTTTTTGTTTTCCTGAAGATAAATTCCATGCCTTGAATTCTTCATTCTCAGATCATCTCATAATCTCAGTGAAGCAGGAAGGAGGGTAAATTTCAGACATACCCAACATCTTTCATTTATACCTCTCAAAAATCTCTCTATACCTTTAGTTTCAAAAGACAAGTTACCCTTTTTCATTTCTAAGGTTAAAGCCGTGTTTTGGGTTCAGTGCCCCCGACCTCCTCTTGAACTCTGCCCTATCACTTATTCCCCATTTCTTGTATCTTCAATGACTCCTACCTTCTGTCTGCAGACATATGACCCTGCTATCAAAATAACTTTGATTTAATAACTAATTTTGCTCCAATCAAGAAAACAATTATATTTCTCTTACTCACAAAATCTTATAGTATTGATATATACTTCATGCCACCATTCATTAATTATTAACTCCTTTAGTCTAACTTCCTACCCATCACTCAACTGAAACTGCTTTCCTAAGTCTTCATTACCAAATCCAAATTCCCAACCATAACCTAACCAAAAATCCTTTTCTCACTCCTTATCCTTGACCTCTCTGCACCATTCAACATAGCTGAATATATCACTACCTATGTAAGATGTTCTCCTTATACTACACTACATATTACTCTTGTTTACCTGGTCATGCTTTGCCTGTCTTTTAGTTGGAAGTCTTTATCCCACTTCCTAAATAAAGATGTCATCAAGACTCTCTTCTGTTCCCCAAAGGAGAGAATACGGAAGAGGAAATTATCCAAGTTCACATGGTCAACAAGCAACTCTGTGCAGGTAATTTCCAAATCTTCATCTCGAGCCTAACCTTCCGTCCTGCATCTATAACTTGCTGGCCATCTCTTCCTGCTATTAATCACTTTCCCAAAATAATAATAATAATCTTCATCAGTGAATAGTATCACCATTCTCCTAATCTTACCGGCACACCCTGGAGCCATCCCTGACTTCTCCCTCTTCCCCCAGTCTGTTATTCACCCAGTCTTGATTCTTCCCTCACATGTCTTTAAAATTGCCGCTTCCTTTCCATTTTTACCACGCTTATCCTACTCTAGATCTTCATGGTCTTACATCTAAACTACTTTAACAGTACGTGATCTCAACTCCCTTCCCTTTCCTACTTCTAATACTTCTGTTAGTATCTAATACTACAAAAAGTGTTCTCATTGCACACTGCCTAAAACATAAAGCCTCAGTACCTCAGCCCTTCATCATGTGACTTCTACCTACCACTCTAAACTTTTTACAGCCTCTGCATCATACCAACTAGTTTTTACATGTAAATTGTAAGCACCTCATACTCCATCACCACAAGTTTGTCGTTCTGTCCACTCCATGCCTCTTTCCCATTCTCCCTAAACACAAATCTAAGTCCTTCAAGGCCAGATTGAAATCATTTCTACTCAATGAATCTTCCCAGTTACCTTGGCTTTCCTTCTTTGAGCTCTTAGTCTTTACCACTTATTTGATACTAGCATTTTTAAAAGGATATTTCCTACCTCAACTAGGACCTCAGCCCCTTGGGAAGAGCAGCCATATCTTGTAACTCAGTTTATCCCCAATGCCTAGCATAGTTCACTCTACACTGTAACGTATATAGTAAACATGCTTACTAATATTTAAAAGCAATCTTCTGGAACTTGCTCTGAAAGTGTATTTCCCATAAGCCCAAAAGAACTTTACTGACCAAGTGCTCACAAGCATCCACTATTTATCCACTGACTTGGCTTGACCAAACTTTAGTCAGGCTTCTCTCCTTCCCACAAGGTTAGCTTGCCCCTAAGCTTAAACAAGCAGATGCAGAACATCCTCCCTAAGGGATTCATTATAAGCATCAGCTGACAATGGGGGGGGGGGACACTTCCTGTCAAACTGCCCTTATCATGCTATCTGCTCACCCTCATCCTTTTGCCCCGCTTTCATTTATCTGTTTGACTTTGAGATACCTACAGATCTTGTGGTTAGAGCACTCTCCCTGTTGCAATAGTTTTTTCAAATAAAGTCTCTCAGTAAGTCCAAATCTGTTTTTATTTGACATTTGTATGGTGATGTGTCTTGAATGAAGACTGGATCTTACCTACGGACCCGCACCATTCCTGCCTAGGTAATGGCACTTTGCAAATCATTTGAACTTCTCTCCGTTCAGAAATCCAGGGATTTTTTGGTGAGTTCAACTCTTGAGCCAGTGCTCTTATTTGTTGCAGCACGGTGAAGTTACTTTGATTCTTTCTAGCAAAGAAATTTTTCTTTGGCTTTTCAAATGGGGAATCACTCCCTGACTCTCAAATGGAAATATTCCCAACTCTTCTGTGAGGCCTCTTCTTAGCTTCCCTAAGTGCCGACCACATGAGGGAATCTCCTCAGCTCCTCCACTGGGACTGCGCAAGGGAACTTCCTTGGCTCCTTGGACAGGGATTACACAAGGGAGTGTTCAAGAGGTGCTCTTTCCCAGCTCCGTTAAAGTGTCACCTCTGATTTAATTATCTAACCCCACAGGTAACTCTCACTCCGTCAATCCCACAGGTAACTCTCACTCCGTCAACCCCACAGGTAACTCTC